GGAGTAGGAGTAGGAGTAGGAGTAGGAGTAGGAGTAGGAGTAGGAGTAGGAGTAGGAGTAGGAGTAGGAGTATTAAAGCTCTGAATTGCTCAAGGTGTGGATGGATTGATAAAAGATGGTGAAAGGTCTGATATATCCTGTTCACTATGCATGGCAGTTATGCAGCTGTTAGATGAAACAATCACTGATCCAACCAACGAACAACAGGTTTTTATTTTTATAAGAGACTGTTTATGTAACTCCATCTGACCCGATCCTTTTAAAGAAGTAATTTTGAATCTTTAAAAATCTATTTTTGAAAGAAAAAATCAAATCTAAAAAACTGCAAATTTTGTCTAGCCGTTTGGCCGACAATAGTTAGGATACAGAGCGTCTCATATTGGATTATTCCCAAGCTTTAACGTCAAAATACGCACAAGGACTGGAAAAACCTGGTATTTATTTTAATATTAGCCTTAAACATTTTTTAATTATTCATTATTCTAAAACGTATTTACGAAAAATGTCACTTAGATCAAATGCGAATTTAAAGATATTATTTCTTCTGCATATATGCTTTCGTGAACACGCCTTTTAAAAATCCATGAAATTAAAAATTATTATATGGTAAGAAAAACATCAAGTTTGAAAATTGCTAAACATCAATATTTTTTACTTTTTGAACCCTAATGTTGATGTAAACGCCAGAATAATCATTAAATCGTTTGTCGAAATTCGTGAAAGACAGAACATTTTACAAAAATACATAAAAGATATTTTTTATATTGTAATACAACATAGGTTATCAATTTTCTGGACCAAATCTGTGGGTTTCTTCCTGTAGAAATTCAAGCTGAATGTCACGCACTTATAATGGTAATAAATAAATAAATGATAATATACTTGTTTAGGAATATGTTGATGATATTATAGAACTACTAGTTAATGAATATAATAATATACTTGTTTATGAATATGTTGATGATATTATAGAACTACTAGTTAATGAATATAATAATTATACTTGTTTAGGAATATGTTGATGATATTATAGAACTTCTAGTTAATGAATATAATAATATACTTGTTAAGGAATATGTTGATGATATTATAGAACTACTAGTTAATGAATATAATAATATACTTGTTTAGGAATATGTTGATGATATTAAAGAACTACTAGTTAATGAATATAATAATATACTTGTTTAGGAATATGTTAATGATATTATAGAACTACTAGTTAATGAATAAAATAATATACTTGTTTAGGAATATGTTAATGATATTAAAGAACTACTAGTTAATGAATAAAATAATATACTTGTTTAGGAATATGTTAATGATATTATAGAACTACTAGTTAATGAATATAAATACTTGTTTAGGAATATGTTGATGATATTATAGAACTACTAGTTAATGAATATCTGGCTCCTGCTGATGTTTGTGACGCTATAAACCTTTGTCCTTGATTTACAGAATTTTTAAATAAAACTTTAATTGCAAATACCAAAAAGCACATAATTCTTGTTTGAAAAATTTCATGCATTCAATCAAAAGAAATCATGACGCGCAACTGCGACATTTAAAGTTCAATTTCCTTAAAAATTCATTATTTTTTTTCACGAGTATTCATATATACTTATTTTGCAGAATACAATGTATTATTCTAAGTTCATCAAAGTTTAATCTTTTTGTTAATCTTATCAAAAACCCAAGAACTTTCCGGCCTGTTCTATGGGAAAGATAAAAGGCAGTGGAGCGACACAAAAATATGAGAGTTAGTATTTGAAGTGCTCAAAATATGAGAGTTAGTATTTGAAGTGCTCAAAATAGAAAATTAATTGTATTCCACTTTGAATTTTAAGGCATAACTTTAATTGTGTTGAATTTCATTTTTATTTATAGGATTAGTGTTTTTTTATAGGATTAGTGTTTTTTTATAGGATTAGTGTTTTTTTATAGGATTAGTGTTTTTTTATAGGATTAGTGTTTTTTTATAGGATTAGTGTTTTTTTATAGGATTAGTGTTTTTTTATAGGATTAGTGTTTTTTTATAGGATTAGTGTTTTTTTTATAGGATTAGTGTTTTTTTTTACATTTTTTTATCATTCCAACCCATTTCAGGTAGGGCTAGGTATGTTCCAAATTTTTCTAACCGTTTCGTTAACAGTTAGTTTCAACCGTTGAAAAAGAAAATTTTCAGGCAGCCGTTAATTTCACTGTGTTTTTTTTTTAAATTACTGTTAGTTAACGAACTTAATTTTATTAATGACGTTAAGGGAAGATTTTAAAAAATCGGTAACGGCTCCAGGCGTTAACGGTCTATTACATTATTAACAGCTCAAAGCACTAGAAAAAATCCTTAACTGTTAAAAAATCGTTAACAATGACGCTGTTAACGGTCTATTTCAGTATCAATAGTGCAAAGAGCTGAAAAAAATTATTTTAGGGCTGTAAAATCGTTAACGGTGCAGCCGTTAATGGTCTTTTATAGAATTAACGGCGTTAACGGTTTGTCAAATCGTTAACGGCACTAGCTGTTCATCTATACTTATCCTTTTCTGCGGACTGCCTTAATGCCCGATTTACAACAGTACTCTTTAAACCTTTAACTGATGTAGAGAAACCAAAATTGAAAATAATCACTTTTCAAAATTATAAACATTGATGTCTAATTAATACTTGATCAGACAAAGCTTTTATGGGTATTGCCATCTTTGCATGTAGGGTCACTTGAAATTATGCTCACAGTCCCTTTAAAGGTATTGTTGTGAATCTGACATGCCACTCCACTTGAAATAATGTCTACAGTATCTTAAAAAAAACTTGACACATTTAAAAAAAAAATTTTTTATCATTTCCTTTGTTGATGGAAAGACTGAGAATTTTCAGTTAAAAAATTAATTTTAAGTTTTAGAAATTGTTTTAAAAATATTATTTGTTTAAATGTTTTTCATAAAAATCTGCAAAATTATTTTTATCATTGTCTAAATATAAAGTGAATTCAATTTTTAATTTAATTTAATCTTTTAAAATTGGTTTAAACTGTAAATCATATTTTCTTATTGTAGCATTAAATTAAAAACAACAATGCTGCTTGCGTGCTTCGCGCCCATCTTTCTTACAATATTACCTTTCTGAAGTTTATCGTCATTTTTCTTTAGGTACAAACAATGCATTGCAAAAGAAAATTTAAATGGAGTTTTACTTGTTTTTATTTGATTTCCAGAATCCAGAATTATTCTAAATAATAAAACAAGACATTTATATATATATGTTGCGTATAGCCTACCAAACGGCTGGACCGATTGGGCTGAAGTTTTTTGTGAACACTTATGGGTGGTCAAATTTTTTTCCACGGGCAACGCCGGGCCCTTCAGCTAGTCTATGTAATAAAACAAGACATTCGAATTTATGTTCCCTATATATGGCCAAACGGCTGAAACAAATGGGATGAATTTTTTTGAGGGAACCATGGATACCCTGGGTGACGTCATTTCGACGTTGAAAGATAGATCGTGAGGACGTAAAAGGTGTTCATTTTACGTCCCTACGACGTCCTCAACACCAAAAAGATGACGTCCATTGGAAATTGATGACGTCCTCATGCGTCACCTGGTTGCTAGGCATGTTACTAAAAACTGTAATGTGTTTCAATGCTGAAATCATAATAAACTTAATCTTTAAGATAGGAATTAATCATATTCAATTACTTACAGCGTTGGTTAAAACTTAAAAACTATCGGATTGAGGAAAAGTAAAATTAACATGATTTATCAATGAATTAGGAAATGTTTTGATAAAGAACCTTAAAGTATCTGCTGCAGTGCAGTAAGACAGTAAACTTTTTAATCAGTCTTCGACCTTTTGACTCCCCCTCCCCTGTATCTGCGCCTGGTTGGCTCGGGCTAGAAAATGAGGTAAGTGTGGCTCGGAAGAAAAATTGTTGTGGCTGCCCCTGGACTTTAAGTCCTCATTGAGCTCTTTTCAAAAACATTGACAAACTTAAAGTTGTAACAAAAATTTTATTTAAAAACGTTTTGAAAAATTCTGGAGAAAATTCTCAACATTGTTGGAGAAACTTCCGAAGAATTACTGATGAGACCAAAACTTTAGTGGCAATATTTTTCAGAAATGCATAAATTATTTTTTTTTTAATAAAGTTTTAGGGGCATCAGTATACCCTCCACACACTTAATTAAAACTTTATGTTCACTTTTCAAAACAAAATTCATTATTTTTTAAAAGTGTTGAACGACGACTCGATTTTTTCTATGAAAATAAAAAAAATGAGATTTGTTAATAATGATATTATACATATCTAAAGGGAGTGTTCGCGAAAAATTGAAAGGTTTACTGTTTGAGTGGAATATATATAGGCACTACACTATATAACGTGTTTTTAATTTTTTTCTCCTTTAGACGCTACAGATAGAAGTAAAATGAGTAACCATCGATCCGACTTTATTTTAGAACTCAGTCCCTTTAATTTTTCTCTAATAATCCCTTTAAAAGATCGGATTGGTAAAATGTTTACTTTAAAAAATTTTATTGGAGAATTCATATTTTATATTTTGAAATATTCTTTAATTAAAATTAGAATTTGCAACCCGTTATTAACCATTAAAAAATATATTAATCATGAAAAAAATTTTAATTATAATATTTTGATAGTTTTGATGCATAGTATCCAAAGACGCGCAGTTTGTGGTAAAAACAATTTTAACAAGCGTAGTTGAATAACAAATATATTTTTTTCAATTCTCAAAAACACTAAATGAATAATCTGTTCACTCAAATAAAAAATAAAAATGCCAGTTTCAGCAATGAAAATAGATTTTCTGTTGCTATAAATAAATAAATAAGATATTTATTTACTTTTTTTACAATATTCCTTCCTACGAGATTTTGTTTTCTCTTTATATTAATTTTTGTGACATTTTTTATTTTGAAATGATTAAAAAACAAATTCTTTAAATGTATTCTCCAAACTGGACAATCCAGGAAAATTTCAAAGATCGAATTTCTGCTGTTATTCAGGAATTATATACCGTAAAAACGTCTTATAGGTCTCAAATGAACCCTACATTTTTTGCTACGAACTGCACTCTCAGCTGAACTACCTGTCTAGGCAGTCACTCCCTTTTGTACTGTAATTGAATAAAATTATGAATCCCATATAAAATAATCAACTCTTCAACATATAAATATATATTTATCTCAGGTAAATACGATACACATATCATATAACATTAAATTATTTTTTGTAAAAACAAAGTTGAAAACTTTTAAACTTCTAGACTGAATTAAATTCAATCTCTCCTTCTAGCTGATCTCTTATTGGCCGTAACCTGTCATACTTTATCGAAGACCAAGATCAGTTAAAGTTTTCCCGAGGAAAGAATGAGTTTAACTAATTCCTTGAATTATAAAGTTCCCAGCTCTGATTGTTCTGTGCAGTTTAAAATCACATACACTATGTAAAATACCTAAAACGGCATTCAATCATTTACTTTCTTCTTAGAAAAATACACTTTTACAACATACAGGTTAATCTATATATAAATTTGGCTTGTCTGTCTGTTTGTTTGTATCCAATAAACGTCAAAACGGCTGAACCGATCGGGCCCAAATTTTTGTGGGACATCACGTGACCACAGGAAAGGTTTATGAATGATAAAAATTTTAAAAAAATGTGATTTAAAGGTTTTTAATTTTGCAAATAAATTTAAATTCTTGAAAATCCGCGAATTTTTTTTTAAAAATCCGCAAAATTTTTTTCTTTTTTTTAAATGTAAACAAAAAGAACATGTTCACAATTTAAATAGAACATGGGCGCGAAGCGCCCTAAAAGCCTAGTTTTTTAAAATTTAACTAAAAAACAAGAAAATACTCCATCCATGAAAACAAAAATTAGATAAATCTAGGTGGGGTATCAATAAAAAAATAAAAAATGAGAGTCAACAAATGCTTTAGCAAACAAGCTCAAAAACAAGTTCATCACTAAAGTAAATACATTGGATCTGTCTTAAAACCAGAATTGTTTCACAACTCCAGAAATATTTGAGATATTTTATGAAATTTGGTATTTTGTTAGAAAACTGGGATAATTTAGAAGCAAATAAGCAAATACTTTTCACATAGATTCACAGAGATGCATTATTCCACCCAAACTGTAAATATGTTCAATGAATTCAAAACTAATCATTCAGATATTACAAACAATTTCTGTTTTTGTACGGTTTGGGTGGAATAATTCAACTCAGTGAATTTAAATGGGTTCTACTCTTTTGTCTCCCTAAATACACAACAGTATATAAGTATGATTAGTAGCAATCAAAATTGAATTCAATTAGGTATTAGCATATACCCCCTTTACATTTTGTTGTGTCCAGGTGTAAATTCTATTATAAAACCGGAAATCGTACAGTGAGAACCAAAATCTTCCTGAATTATGTACAGAGAGAACCTGAAATTTCTGGTTCTCCCTGTACATAATTCGTAGAGTGAGAACCAGAAACTCTGGTTCTCCTGTACATAATTCGTAGAGTGAGAACCAGAAACTCTGGTTCTCCTGTACATAATTCGTAGAGTGAGAACCAGAAACTCTGGTTCTCCCTGTACATAATTCGTAGAGTGAGAACCAGAAACGCTGGTTCTCCCTGTACATAATTCGTAGAGTGAGAACCAGAAACTCTGGTTCTCCCTGTACATAATTCAGGAAGATTTTGGTTCAGCTTTTGATTGTTTACATATCACAGAGAACAAAGTTACTAACAGGTATTTTTGTTTAAGAAAGCGTTATTTTTTGGGGATTTCAGGTATTTACAAGTTTAGAGAACATTAATTTTAGTTGACGATCACATTGTTGGTGTACTTAAATATCAGGGTTAACATTCTTACAATAATAAATATTATACGTAGCACTTCCAGCACAACATTGAATCTTGAATCAACCATTCAACTTTTTCTCTCATCATCATCTAAAAATGTAGAAAAATTTAATTTTTTTAAAATGAAAAGACATATTTAAGAAAAACTGCACACTGGACCCTACACACTAGACATATTGGACCGGACAGCAAACACTATAACTGCTTGCTAATATACACTAGGAACTAATAGACTAAACACCAGACACCAGACACTAGACACCTGACACTTGACACTTAATGACACTTAATGACACTAGCTACTAGATACTAGACCCAGCCTAGAAACTAGACACCAGACTCTAAATACTAGACACCAACATCACTAGGCACTAATCACCAGACACTAGACACAATACACCAGATACAAGACACAATACACCAGATACAAGACACAATACACCAGATACAAGACACAATACACCAGATACAAGACACAATACACCAGATACAAGACACAATACACCAGATACAAGACACAATACACCAGATACAAGACACAATACACCAGATACAAGACACAATACACCAGATACAAGACACAATACACCAGATACAAGACACAATACACCAGATACAAGACACAATACACCAGATACAAGACACAATACACCAGATACAAGACACAATACACCAGATACAAGACACAATACACCAGATACAAGACACAATACACCAGATACAAGACACAATACACNAATTTTTATTATTACTATTATTATTATAATTATTATTAAAATCTTTAGTATTATTATTATTATTATTATTATTATTATTTTTATTATTATTATGTTCTACCCGGCTAGTACACTAGTACACTGAAAAACCATATTCTTTTCCCTCATATGATCAGGTCTGCTCTGGGTACAAGCCTTTACAAAGTAACATATTTTATTTTTAAAAATTGAGATTTTAACTTTCTTTGAACTCATAGCTTTTCGATTTTTTTAGCCTATGTCAATTTGACGTTTATTGGAGACAAACGGACAGACAAGCAAAGTATATAGATGATTAAAACATGACATGAATGAAAGATAAAGATTCAAAATCAAACTGAAATATATTTCCTCACAATTAATTAATTGGGATAAAAAGATTTTTCCTATTTTTCAACTTATTTATTTCATGTTTAGCTTGTTTTTATTATTTAAATATTTGAAATCTAAAGAATAGAATATTGTCCGAAATATAGTTTGGAATAAGACAAATACCAAACAAAGGAGAATAATTTCTTTAAATTAATTAAAATATTGAAAAGTTTAAGAAGAATTTAAATTTAAACTTTACTCTGCTCAAGTGCGTATACATCTCAAAGCTTTTAGTTTTTAAGCTGAGTTATTTATTTCCAAAAAAGTCTCTCATTATCTCACATATAAAACAACAATACTCAATGAACTTAGAAAATAAAGATTTCTGATTAAAATAATGAAATTTCCTCTCATTTAAATACAATATGGTTCAAAATTAAAAAGAAAACTCACCCAACGGTAGTTGGGATTTTTAGACTCGGAAATGTTTCTTCTTGTAGTTGTGTCTCGTTGAAGCCTGCAAAAAATAAAAACATAAATTAAAAATTAATTTTGTTTAATTATTGTGTAAACAACCCAATTATAGAAAAGTTTGTTCATAATATTGAACAAAGTATTTATTTTAGAATCTTAAACCAGAATGTTAGAAATAACTCACAAATTTTGAGCTTGAAATAACTCAACCAACATGTTTAGAAAAGAAGTTGAGTTTGGGCCACAAAAAAAATTTCCTAATTCCAATATCATTGTAACCTTATGGCATAAACCTTTGATATTTCAAACTTAAAATATTTGATCTCACAAAATTCATAGTTTGAAATATCTAAGGTCTACCACATCGGATTGCAGAGATATATGGATTAAAACAACAGACTTTGTGGCAAAAACTCAACTCCTTTATTGAGAGGATTATTCAAAAATCATTACATAAAATTTTTTGTATTCCCCAAAGTAACGTTGAAATATTTTCGAAAGAACAATGTACATGTACATATTTATATTTAAAATATTTTGCATTTCTTTTTTGATTCAGTCAACCTACTGATCGAATGAATGCATAATCTTCTTTAGAATTTGTTAATACAATTAACCTAAAAGTTTTTTTAATCCAAAATTTCCTATTTCGTTTTTATTTTAAATTTTGATTTTTAGATTTGTTAGGCCTATTGTTACGCTTAAAAAAGAAAGAATTAAAAAGCTTTGATAAAATAACTCATTTAGCATTTCTTTTTTCATGTTTAGAAAAATCTAAAATATTTCAAAAGATTTTTTTCTTTCATATAAGAATTTGTATAACTGTCAAGAACAACTTTTATCTTATTCATGCAGGAAAAGTTTTCAAAAACTTGATAAAAAAGATAATTATTATTTCTAAAAACTCTAATAATAAATATGCTTTAAAAATATATTTCCATGTGTTACCTTTTTTTTACTAAATTAATAAACCTTTAAATAACATTTTTCAGATAGTTTAGAAATTTTGATCACAAATAACTCTCATATTATTAAATATTATTTTTATTTTGGGTTTACGTAATATTTTCTAACTTGTAAAAGAATCCTCTTATCGATATTAAATATCACCATCACAATAACCCATTATTTTTTTAAGTTTGTGTTAGAGCTTGTCAAACTAAGAAAAATTAGGACAAATGATGTGTAGGAAAAATAAAGAGTAGGACAAATAAAGATTAGGACAAATCACATGTAGGACAAATAAAGAGTAGGACAAATGATGTTTAGGACGATTAGGAAAAATGATGTGTAAGACAAATAAAGAGTAGGACAAATGATGTTTAGGACGATTAGGAAAAATGATGGGTAGGACAAATGATGTTTTCCTCTCTTGGTAGGACAAATGACATAGTGCCTCGAAAATTACCTGATTGTCAAGAATGGGTTGATAAAATAACTAAAGTTTTAGAAGCCAGATCAACATGAACAGACATGGTTATCAACAAAGCATGAGAGTTTAATGACGACCTTAAATTAATTAAGTTAATTAAGTTAAAGGGTATATAAAATGATAGAAACAAATGTGCAGCTGCAGGGTGCAGGAATTCGAATAAACTGATTATATTCCTTACAGTCGTCTCTGAAGTCTGGTCCTTTGTGAGTAGAGGGCATATTAACTTCGGTACTAATCAATCCGTCAACCAATCATGAATCATCACTTAGTCAATTAAACAATCAATCAATTCATCAATCAATCAATTCATCAATCGATCAATTAATCATTTAATTAGTTTTACCTGGATCTAGTGATCTTTATCATCTCAGGGTTTGTGAAGCAGAGAAGGATGGAGACGGACAAACCCTGAACAGTTTTACAGTTAAAAACCATAAAACTCTGGAGTAGGAAGACGACTTTTAGTTATTTCAAGTAGAATTCACAACGGTACCCTGAAAAGCGTTGTGTATGATCAAGTATGAATTAAAAATATATCAGTTTGTTTCTGAAAACTTATTATGTTTGTTGTTTGTTAACAATGGAGAAATTTTCAAAATCAAAGACGTTTCCAGGCAGGAAAACTACGTAATCTTCAACATCATTGATCAGGTTTCAAGGGTACCGGTGGGAATCGAGCATGCTCCATTTTTCTAAAATGGAGGGTAACTGTAAATAACGACGACAGTCCTTTTAAAATGTCCTTTTACCTGAGTAGAGGTGGAAAGAGATGATATGATGTCATAGGCATACTCCAGATAGGAGCCCTAGATAGAAAGATAGAGAACTGAGAAATAGATAAATAGATAGATAGATAGATAGATAGATAGATAGATAGATAGATAGATAGATAGATAGATATAGTACAGTACGTTACAGAGCAGTACAGTACAGTACATTTTAACAGTACCTGGACTGGGCGCATAGGCAGTATAAGGAACTGAAGTCCGAAGATGGGAACAAGAATAGCCGCGGCACGTGCGCTTTTCTTCAGAATATTGGAATGGTTTCGGTTGAAATTATTCTCGAACACCAACTTTCGTCTAAATTGTTAACTTTTAAAAACTTTGAGGGCTAATCTTTAAAAAAAAATCTGGTCTGGTGTCCCCAATCAAAATTTTGAGGCAAATCGGTCCAGGGGTTCATGAGTTATAACCGGATATCCTAACAAATAACAAACAGACAGACAAACAGATAATATAGATAAAGATTTCCTGTAATTTCCCAATGTATTCCCTTGTTCCTACATTAAGCCATATATGCTATTCTTCACTTATCATAATTAAAAAACTACTTATGAATAATTAGATAAAGCTTTGATCATTATGGAAACGATTGCCAAGAAACAATCTTTCAGATAGATTCAAGACCAGAAATAAGAACTTCAAGGTAACCCTCCATACAAGTGGAGAAATTGCCTACGTTACCCTTGAAACCTTTGACTGATTACAACCAAACAACTGGATTGTACCATGGGAACTGGAATAGGGTAAGGTAGTCATACAATTCTAGCTTCTGTATCTTACCTACGTCATAACCCGGTACAGGGCACAAAGTGGACACTGGCGAGTATACGCATAATTGTGATTGGCATTTCTTTGGCGGTCTGAGAATTCTCCACCAATAGTTTTAATCAGTGACGTCAGAGGATACGGATCTTCCCCCCGTACCGTATCGACCTTTCATTCGTGCGCGAGCCTCGTTGGGATACTCTATTCCAGTACCCATGGATTGTACACTGTACAATGTACAGTCTGAACTCAACTCAACTGACGTTACGTATGTTTATCAAAACAATTGGGTTTAAATGTTAATATTTATTTTCTGCTACTTCTGGAAAGTAAATATTCATATTTCTTATGTTTCAGTAGAAAAATAAGGATAGGTCCGTCATCATTGATCAGTAAAAGGTTTTAAGTATACTTTTATTGATCAGAAAGAACACTTTAAAAATGAAAAGCTATACTTGAACATGAACTAATATTATATTGTTAACAATATTATACTTAGTATAAAAAAGAGATACTGGTGAAAAGTTAGTGAATCTTAACTTTGGAACCCATTTTCACCCTTTAAATGAAGCTTTTTTGTATTTGTTACAGTCGTCGTCGCGTATCTTAATACATTGAAGACGACTTTCGATTTTAATTTTGATTTATATCAAGCTTAAAAACAGCATGGAAACACATAAACATGGAAACAAAGAGAATCTGTCAATCAAAAAAGCTTCTCTTCAATTACTTGTAAACTTGTAACAATCGTAACCTAAATAAAAAGTCGTCTTCCTCGTCGACCATTGTATATTATACATTTTTGTTGAACTATATACAGAGCGTCCCATATCATATTAGATTATCAACAATTTTTAACGCCAAAATACGCAAATAATACGCGAAAAATCTAGCATTTTCTGCCAACAAAATTTTCTATTAGCCTTATTAAATTTTTTTAAAAGATTCATTCTTCATAAATTTTCTGATTTATCCCCCAAATCGTAATTTAGACCCATTGACGCGGTCTAATTTGATGTGGGACACCCTGTACATTTGTTAAATATTTTAAATATCAAAGTTTATAAAAATTTTACGCTATTTTTAAGAGATTTTGAATGGGGGATCAAAATATGACAAGGCAGTGCATTTGTATTTCTGATTTAAATTAATTAAAGAAATTTGAAAGCCTCCGTCGAAAAATAGAAATTAAATTTGCAAAATCTGAGACTGTTATTTTTTTAAGAGATACTAAAAAACATGGCTGCAGACTGCAGAAAAGAATTATTTTAAAAATGAAATTGTTATAAAAATGAAATCATTATAAAAATGAAATTTTTATAAAATAAACAATTTACCTGAGTATATTGATAACCTTGTAGAGGAAAAATATGTTGCCAAGAATGCAGAGTACAGAGGGTACAGCTAGAAACCAAATACTCTGCAGGATTACAACGGATTAAAGAATGATTTTTGGATTATACTTTTTAGAAACTTTTCTGTAATGTATGAGTAAAGAATGATATTAAGATTTTACTTTATAGAAAACTTTTCTTTAGGTTTCCATGTTAACTTGGAAAAATGTTCTGTCCGGACTTGAGTTTTTCATTGAAGGATACTTTTATTAAAGTCTACGAAATAATAAAAAAAATCTGGAAATTATTTCAGTATTTTAATTATGAAATATTTGCTTAAAGGAATTGCGTCTTTGCAACAAACTCTGATTTTCTTATCCCTATCTCTTTACAACGCTAAGTTGTAGACCTTAGATATTTCAAACTATGAATTCTGTTAGATCAAATGATCAAAGTTTGAACTATCAAAAGTTTACATCATCAGGTTGCAAAGAAATAGTGATTAGAAAATTTGAGTTTGTGGCAAAGACTCAAATCCTTTTCTGATTTCAGTTGTTGCAGAAATAGAGTAAGAGATTGAATTTCAATAACATAATAATTTTAAAAAAATCAACTTTCGCTCTTGAATCCGAGTTAAAAAAACCGTTTTTTCAGATATTTAGAAAGATGTTTTTAATCTATTCCTTGTCCATATCCATCCAGCAGTTATCGTTCTCGTAGACCTGATCATCAAATTTTTATCAATTCTGTGTATGTCGTCTAAATTTTTGTGTGGCTTGACTAAATATTGTCTATATCGTCTTAATTTTGTCTTATTTTTCTGAATTTCGTGTTTGTCGTCTAAATTTTGTGTAGTTTGTATAAACTTTGTGTATGTCGTCTAAATTTTGTGTAGTTTGTCTAATTATTGTGTTTGTATTCTAAATTTTGTGTAGTTACTAGTTTGTCTGAATTTTGTGTTTGTCGTCTAAATTTGGTGTAGTTTGTCTAAATTTTTTGTAGTTTGTCTAAATATTGTGTTTGTCGTCAAAATTTTGTTTAGTTTTTCTGAATTTTGTGTATGTCGTCTAAATCCTGAAAGCCTGAAAATTTCAGTGTTGTATAAAGAAATGTTATTTTTAAACGATATTTAAAAAGGAACTGAGTTTTGTATCAAAATCTGATTTTCTAATTCTGATATCTTTGCAGCCTGATGGTGTAAATCTTGATTTCCGACTTAAAATATTTGATCTTACTGAATTTATAGTGTGAAATACCTAAGGTCTACAACATTTAGTTGCAAAGTTATATGGGTTAGAAAATCTAAGTTTGTATAAGTTCCTATAGGGATTTTCCCCAAAAATAATATTCCAAGTGTTACATATATGCAAATTATTTATGAAACTATTGTGTACTTTATCATTCTTCCTCACTTCATCGTGAATTTCATAATAAACGTGCTTCAAGGTAATAATCATAAATTTAAATTAGCTGTACACTATAGCACGTGTGCTATAAAGTTTTGATTGGTTTCCGGATTTTCTCCAAAAAATTCAGGATATTTCCAAAAACACTGCGAATCAAAATGTCTCTTCTGGACAAGGAATTGTCTGCTATTTCTACCGGTCTACATATATTGCTACATCTTTGGATTACATTAATAAATTACCATTCTATATCCAAAGTAGAGTCCCAGGGGAAGCAGAGGTCCTAACCAACCAAACAACTAAAAATAAAAATCAGTAAATAATCGTCAAATTTTTAAGCTAGATATTATTTTTTTTTTTTGTGGTTAAGTGAAAACTATGAACTAACATAGTCTGTACTCTGTACCAATATTTATATTTTAATCAGGAGATTTGTCCAACATTCTGTAACTTTTAGAAGGATACAATTTTTGAATCATTTTAACAAAGGAAATTAAGTACAAAATTTATTTAAAGAGAATTAATGCAAACTTTGATTACTAATATACATAATACCTTTAAAGAGAATACATGCAAACCTTAAGCACTGCTATGAATAAATGCAATGCAAACCTTGTGTACTGCTTCACAATACCTTTAAAGAGAATAAATGCAAACTTTGAGTAATGCTACATAATTCATTTAAAGAGAATAAATACGAACCTTGAGTACTGCAACATAATTCATTTACAGCAAATAAATGCAAACCTTGAGAACTGCTACATAATACCCTTAAAAAGAATAAATGCAAACCTTGAGTACTGCTTCATAATTCATTTAAAGAGAATAAATGCAAACCTTGAGTACTGCTTCATAATTCATTTAAAGAGAATAAATGCAAACCTTGAGTACTGCTTCATAATTCCTTTAGAGAGAATAAATGCAAACCTTGAGTACTGCTTCATAATTCATTTAAAGAGAATAAATGCAAACCTTGAGTACTGCTTCATAATTCATTTAAAAATAATAAATGCAAACCTTGAGTACTGCTAAATAATTCCTTTAGAGAGAATAAATGCAAACCTTGTGTACTGCTACATAATTCCTTTAGAGAGAATAAATGCAAACCTTGAGTACTGCTTCATAATTCATTTAAAAATAATAAATGCAAACCTTGAGTACTGCTAAATAATTCCTTTAGAGAGAATAAATGCAAACCTTGAGTACTGCTTCATAATTCCTTTAGAGAGAATAAATGCAAACCTTGAGTACTGCTACATAATTCCTTTAGAGAGAATAAATGCAAACCTTGAGTACTGCTACATAATTCCTTTAGAGAGAATAAATGCTAACCTTGTGTACTGCTACATAATAACTTTAAAGAGAGTAAATGCAAACCTTGAGAACTGCTATCCAATCCTCCTCTTCTATGAATGTTTTGGCCAGTATAAGGTAGAGATATGTTCCCTGAAATAAAAGGGTTTATATCTATATAATTTATTGAAAAATCACCCTCACGCGACGGTTCAAAAACAATTTTCTCTCTACTCTTCTAAGAAATTTTGCAACGTGGGAAATGCATAATTTTAAAGAGAAAATAATACCCGACTCTTAAATGTCTTTGATACTTCAAAACGCTCTTCATTTTAACCCCTTTAAACCTTTGCTTAGCCAAAACTGTGGATATATTATTTTTGTTTTTCAATTAATAATCAAATATATTTCAAAGTTAAAAAAATGGATATCCCATTCATTCATGATCATAGGAAGGTTTTAAAGGGACTGTAAAGTAAAAAAGAAAAGGGGTATAGGCTAAAATCTAAGCATATCAGGAGTTGATTGAGACCCATAAGAGTTCTATCTGATGTCCTGTGTCAAGAAATGATATAAAACTCTGTCAAAATTATACCAAACTTTATATATATATATAATTTTGTATAAAAATCGTAGGTTGAGACAGATCATATTCAGCAAATACGAAACCAATCTGAGAACGGAAATATCCCAGAGAAGCCTGAGAACTTAGAGTTGCTCCTGCTATTATTATTTTTCATTTTTCATTACAGTGCAGTATCATTGTCACGTTATACAGACGGAGACATGTAACAATGATACTGTACTGCCATTGACACATGTTTTATATCGATTTCTCGAGACAGAAACATCAGATAGAACTCTGCTGGGTCTCGATCAACTCCTGAAATGCTTAGGTATCAGCCTATACCCCCTTTCATTTTTCCTTTACAGACGGTCCCTTCAAGGGTAGTATCGTTAATTACCTCGCAAAGAACCCAGAAGTAGGTTGAAATCATGAAGTAGGTTGTTGTAACATGTAAACCTATACACCAGGGTACATTACTCTGCCATACCTCGGGGTCAACCAGGACCAGGTAGTACCTGGATACATAGATAGATAGATAGATAGAATTATAGATAGAAAGATAGATCAAAGTATTTCTAAATAATAAGTTTAAAATTTTACTTCTGAAAGTGCAATCATACTTTACGGAAGAAAAACGACATCTTTAAAACATAAATAAAAAACTAATTCTATTTTTACCGCATTTATTTTAAATAAAAATTGCTAGAAGAAAATTAATAATTTCTTAACTAACAAGTCAGAATTTATGGTTAACTTTCCACAAACCAAGAATATTAATGCTTTCCTCCCCAAACAATTCAGAATATATGAGTTGGTTGTCAAACAATACAGAATATGATATGTTCCTACCAAATAACCCAGAATGTATTTAGTTTTTGAACTGAACAAACCAGAATATATGTTTTTTTTTGACCAAACAACCCAGAATATATAAACCCAGAATGTATGATTAGCAAATAGCAAACAACCAAAGAATGTAAGATTTGCACAATAAACCCCAAAAATATATAATTTATGTACCAAACAATCCAGAGCATATAATTTTCTCACCAAACAACCTCAGAATGAATGATTTGCTTACCAAACAACCCACAACATTTAATTTTCTCACCAAACAACCCCAGAATGAATGATTTGCTTACCAATCAACCTTATAGAGTGTAGAATATCCTAACCAAACAACCCAAGAATGAATGATTTGCTTACCAAACAACCCCAACATGTTAAATACAATTACCAAACAACCCTAGAATATATTATTTGATCACCAAACAACCCTAGAATGTAAAATATGCTTACCAAACAACCCAGGATATATTGTTAAGTGCCAGAGAGCAGAACATATTCCGATGCAGTGAGACTCTGATGTCATCAAAATCAATAATTTCACTTTTGAAAATAATGAAAATCCCCGTATACTGAACTATTAAGCGACAATTGCAAAGGATTGCATGCTAAAACTTTTGTATACATTTATTTTTTATATATATTGATTCAAAGTAACCGTCAAATACCATATATGTTTCACCATTGGGCTAATCGCATCTTCTTCTAAAATATCATAGAAACGGAAAAGACGACTTTATATAAATTCGAGAACAGATTAATACATATAGGTTAACAGCTAGATAGATAGATGATCAATTCTACTAATAATGTTTGTATAATGTTTACTTCCGGTACAGTAAGAACCAGAAAACTGTGGAATAAGAAGACGACATTGAAGCAATATTTAATTGTATTTGATGTTGTTACAAAGAAACTAGTTTAGTGGTAACTTATTAAATCACAAGAGTCTGAGTAAGTGAGTAAGTGAAATGGGGTGTTTACATTGCTCTATACGATTCATTATAACTAAAACAACTAAAAGTTGTCGTCCTATTTCAGAGTTTACTAGTTCTCACTGTACCATGAATACCCAATATTAAAACATTGATGATGTTCCTGGTAGGGTTGAGGAAGGGGAAGATGGAGAACATGATGAGGGAGATGAGGAGAGCGGCCAGGGAGATCATCAAGCCAACCACCTGGTTTAAATCAGTTATAGACTGCAAAGAATCCTACAAAGAGTGCTCTTCGCCCTCTCTTTTGTGTATACGTATGTTCACAACTTCAAATCCCGAAATTCAAAAGAGTATCAAGGAATGAAACTCTGAGGTAGATCCTGATCTCAGATTTTAGAAATTAGGAAAAATAGAGAATATAAATTGAAACGACATAAAATTATATTTCGAAATAAAAATATTGATAGCTTCAACATTGCCTAACCCCATTAATGAAACCAGGTTAGTGTCTTAAGTTTCGGGCTCTGGTTAGGTGAGGATACGTAGATTTAAGTTTCGGGCTCTGGTTAGGTGACGATACATAGATTTAAGTTTCGGGCTCTGGTTAGGTGACGATACGTAGATTTAAGTTTCGGGCTCTGGTTAGGTGACGATACGTAGATTTAAGTTTCGGGCTCTGGTTAGGTGACGATACATAGATTTAAGTTTCGGGCTCTGGTTAGGTGACGATACGTAGATTTAGTAATTCTGCTACTGTGTTTTTTTGATTTTAAGTTTCGGGCTCTGATAAGGTAACGATACGTAGATTTAGTAATTACACTACTGTGTTTTTTTAATTTTAAGTTTCGGGCTCTGATAAGGTAACGATACGTAGATTTAGTAATTACTGCTACTGTGTTTTTTTGATTTTAAGTTTCGGGCTCTGATAAGGTAACGATACGTAGATTTAGTAATTACACTACTGTGTTTTTTTAATTTTAAGTTTCGGGCTCTGATAAGGTAACGATACGTAGATTTAGTAATTATACTACTGTGTTTTTTTAATTTTAAGTTTCGGGCTCTAGTTAGGTGACGATACGTAGATTTAGTAATTATACTACTGTGTTTTTTTAATTTTAAGTTTCGGGCTCTGGTTAGGTGACGATACGTAGATTTAAGTTTCGGGCTCTGGTTCGGTGACGATACGTAGATTTAGTAATTATACTACTGCGTTTTTTTTTATTTTAAGTTTCGGGCTCTGGTTAGGTGACGATACGTAGATTTAGTAATTATACTACTGTGGTTTTTTAATTTAAAGTTTCGGGCTCTGGTTAGGTGACGATACGTAAAGTTTCGGGCTCTGGTTAGGTGACGATACGTAGATTTAGTAATTATACTACTGTGTTTTTTTTAATTTTAAGCAGCATTTACAAAAACATTGTTCGATAAAATCAAAACTGATCATTACATATGACTATTTGTGGCTGAAAAACCGGTTATACAGGTGATTTTTTAATGTTTTCAAAATATGTCAATATGGGTATAAAAAAATCCGGCTTGCCAAGCCTTATTCAACGCAGCAAACAGTTCATAAAAAAAGGATATTTTGGTTCCCATATCAATTTATTTTGAAGAGAAAAAAAAAACACTCTTAATAGCGTTTTTTATCACAAAAGGCCATTAGCGATGGCCAATTTAGATTTTAGCCAAAAATGCCTTTTGTAAATGTTTCTTAGAATTAAAAAATACACTAGTATTTAATACTTGAAATTGATTTCTTTCAAATTTGTGAAAAATCGTTCACCCTGAATAATCATGCAACATTATTATTATACAAATAAAAAACATGAACACTCCATTAGTCTACGTAAATGTTACCGTGATGATATTAATGCTATCCCTGAAGCGTATATCAGAATGGTCCAAACATCCCGTATAGTTGGACCAACTTCTAAACAGAAACAATTTTTTTAAAACATATATTTTCGATCTGTATCGGATTGTACTTTGCTGATTTGTACTTTACTGTACTGTACTATATCGCATTGTCCTGTATCATATTGTATACTGTATCGTGTACTGTATCCTACTGTACTGTATCATACTGTACTTTATCCTATTGTAATGTATCCTACTGTACTGTACTGTTATGTACGTACTGTACCTGTTAGTGTGTGGGTGAACCCACCACTCCCCCTCCGCCGTACATAATTTCTCTGCAAAATTCTCCGCCATGAACCCCATATAGTCGAACCCAGGGCAACCACTCCGAGCAGTCTAAACATAAACAAAAAATCAATGAAATCAGACTTCTAGGGAGGTTCTAAGTATTAGGCTATTGCCACAACCCAGTGGCCAGTTCCCCAGAATTTACAAAATCAAGACAGGAGTGGAAGAAGGGTTTACAAGCTTGTAATGGAAAGACATTGCCGTTTTGGATAAAGATTCACTTTAAAAAGTAAAATAAAAAAATATCAAAAGACTCCCACTCTCAACCAGGGTCGTAAACAGGGGGGGAGGAGACTTTGAAAAATTACAACGTTGGTTGTGGAATCCCCGTTTCAAAGTATCGAAAAATTCCGCAGCATTCACAACAAAACTCGGTTTTCTCAGTTTACAGTTTACACTAATCAAAGTGTTTTTGGACAGTCTTACTCTCAGGAACACTGTTGAGTAATTGAGAGGCTAATCTAAATTTAAAAATAGAGTGCAAGGTACTGTACTGTACTGCAAGGTTTTTTTTTGCTATTTTCCGAAGATTTACCTCTCCTGGTTGGGTATAGTTCCAACAAGACCAGGAATCAAAGGTTAGAGTACAACCTTCAGCTGAACTATTTACCTCTCCTGGTTGTGTATAGTTCCAACAAGACCAGGAATCAAAGGTCAAAGTACAACCTTCAGCTGAACTCGCCACATCAATTCTCAAATTAGAAATCGTCATTATTTAAATTTAAAAAAAACTAAAAAATGATCCGAAAACGATCGTTTCAACAATATCATTTTTGCATCATTTTTGGTCGTTTTACATTTATCAAAATTTGACATGGTTAAAGAAAAGCAAAGTTTTCACATAAAAACAATTTTGTAAAACATTTCCTCCTGTTACACTAAGGAAAATTTGGCCCCTGGATTAAAATATAGACAAATAGAACCAAAACTAACCAACAGAAGCCTTATATGAATAATATTTAGAATATAAAAATCAACCTTACCTCTCCATACAGTCCACCAATCTTCCAACTAGATATTCTACAGAAAACAGGTTTATTCATGTTTTTATTCATCTCTTAGAAAGTTATCCTTGTGTCTAGAGTTTTAATGGGAACTCATGTATTGTTTTTTATTAATCTGCAGATTAAACTAATCATTATTCGTACTATTATATTATTGTATTGTGAATATCAAGATTAATGTTTGTCGATATTTTGTTAATCTGCAGATTAATCTAATCATTATACGTATTATTATATTATGGTGTTGTGAATATCAAGATTAATGCTTGTCGATATCTTGTTAATCTGCAGATTAATCTAATCATTATTCGTATTATTATATTATTGTATTCTCAATATCAAGATTAATGCTTGTCGATATTTTGTTAATCTGCAGATTAATCTAATTATTATTCGTATTATTATATTATGGTATTGTGAATATCAAGATTAATGCGTGTCGATATTTTGTTAATCTGCAGATTAAACTAATCATTATTCGGTTTCCCGCAGCGTAATTTTAAGTTGGCTTTTTTGAAAAATTAAGCCTAAAAGGGGTATTCAAAAATTATTGGCTTATAATACTTTTTACTCTAAATGTCACAGAATTGACAGGGATGGGACTGGGTTCACTTTCTCTCCCTCTCAACCATAGATAAAGATAGATTGCGCATAAGACGACATTTTTCATCTTGAAAGATATAAATGTACAGAGATGTTTTAAAGATATTCCTATTATATAGATTAACTAGGTCGGTTGTGAACATTGGCTGTTCTTATGTCATTGAGTACTTGTGGTGTACATGAGTTCTGTAGAGAGAAATTTAAGTTAGTTTAGTCCTTCTCATGTCCTTCTTCAGTTCTCGTCAATATGGTATATTGCTCAGTGAAATATTGTTGTTCAAATAGTTCCATTCCCGGAGTTATTTTACACTCTCTTAAAACACCAAACCACCCCACTTATCATTCAAGTACACTTTGACCCCTAGAAGTATGAGTTCGCGGACTGTACAATTCTTGGTGATTTTGCGTACATAAGCTATCTATGTTTATTTATTTATCTATGCTCTCCACAGTTTGTCGGCCTGTGTCTCCAAGTTAACACTTTTACAAAACTTTACAGAATTCTTATTCTTAGTTTTCGTCCTAATTGTATTCATGAACTTGATACAGTGGGTCCTAATAAAATATGGTACAGGAAGACGACATTTGAGTAATCTAAATATTTTGATCTGATTTTGTTGCAATTTATTTTTCCAAGTAGCAAGAAAATCAAATTTTCTAGGGAAAAGGGTGTTTGTTGTTGTATTGTCTCATGTTCAATGAACCCAAGGTTATAATGCAAGGAAAGTTAATTGCAGTTGTGTACACTCTGCGTACATAATGAAACCAGTTCTCTCTGGGCGGAATTGGTTCGTTTAGTATCCGAGGAGGTTAAAAGCATTTTATTTTGATAATTTTCATAATTCACATAATAGTTTCCTATGTTTAGAATATTTCATTGATTTTTTATGTAAAAGATGGATCCCATGTCAAGCTTCGACATCCGTCTTGTGTTTACACTACCGCACAGAGACTTTCCTTGCATTATAACAACCTTGATTGAACCACTAAGGATTATATTCCACAGTGTTTTGGTTCCCACTGTATACTGCACAATGTTTACATGTAAAAACCAGTTCCTGATTGTATATGGTAGGGTGAGGTGGGATCCATTACTTGATTCAATAAATCTTCTGCTTGTTCCTGGAGACACAAGTCAGGCACAGCTGTAGGGATCAGAAGATACTAATATGGGATTATAAGAGTCTAATTTGGGATTAAAGGGATTAGAAGACACTAATATGGGATTGTAATATTTCAATATGGGATTAGAGGGATTAGAAGATACTAATATGGGATTAGAGGTACTAGGACATTCTAATATGGGATTAGAGGGATTAAGCCATTCTAATATGGGATTAAAAGATGCTAATACGGGATAAGAGGAATTAGAACATTCTAATAAGGGATTTGAGGGATTATAACATTCTAGAATAGAATTAGTGCATTTCAACAAAGTATTAATGGATTTCAACAAAGAATTTGTGGTTTTAAACAAAGAATTAGTGGATTTCAACAAAGAATTAGTGGATTTCAACACAAAGTATCAGTGGATTTAAAAAAAGTATTACCGGATTCAAACAAAGTATTAGCGGATTCAAACAAAGAATTAGTGGATTCAAACAAAGAATTAGTGGATTTCAACAAAGTATCAGCGGATTGTAACAAAATATCAATGGATTCTTTGAAAGGATTTTTATTATTATTACTATAATTATTGTTCTTATTACTATTGTTATTATTATTATTATTATTTCTATAATTATTATTATTAATTTTGTTATTAATATTAACGTATAATAAGCTGTGACTGTTTCCTTGATTGAGCAATTAGAGTAGATTGATTCATGAATTTTTTTTTCTAAAATCAATTATTTTGACAAAGAAAATATCATAATAAAAGTTTAAAGATCAATTAAACGAATTCTCATAAATACCCCATTCATTTCAATTCAATATTCTAAATTTTTTTTTCGTGATGGTTTAAAAAAAAATTTAATCGAAATCAAATGCATGACAATAAAAATAAAAGAAAATGAAAGTAAAAATACTGTGTGTGCGAATGCAGAAATATAAGTAAACAGACCGAATAAATTCCGTACAATCGTCTCTGAAGTCTTATCATGTGTGGATAACCCTGGGAATCCTTGTTATTCTGCAGAGAAAAAGTTTTGTTCTGAATATAAGATCCGTGAAGTGCATTATGAACTCAAATATCAATTCAGTGACGATTACAATAGTCTTCAATCATTTAGAGTAAAGCAAGGAAACATGCTTTGTCTTATAGGAAGTGTTCGCAAAAAAATGAAAGGGGAAAAGGCTTACGTCGAAAAATAATCGATGGTGATTGCTACTAACCTTACCTCTGCCTGTTGCATCTATAAGGAGAAATTGTTAAAAACGGCTCATTCCAAAGAAAAATTCAGAAATTTGTCATATTCCACAGGATCGTAAAAAAATCTATTTAATTCTAAAGAAATCATTAAGATATTACAACCTATAATCATCGATATTTCTTTCGACGCATTCTTATATAGTTTATATTTCATAATACATTCTGTTTGTTTTACATACAATGCACTTAAAACGAGAATTTTTTTCCCGCTAAGTATCTGTTAAATTGATTATTTATTATCCGTGTCGAATATTGCAACTTTCTGAGTTTGAATGGACGCTACGTTCGTAGGGTTGAGTCATTATTAAACAATTTTCTACTTATAGACGCAACAGAAAGAAGTAAGAATAGAGCAATTACCATCGAACATTTTTCGATATAAGCCTCTATCCCCCTTACATTTTCGTTAACACTCCCTTTAAAGGGATAGTAAACGTAATTTTACATGACTCTCTGCTGATATTTCTGATTCACAACGGTACCCTGTAAAGCTTTGTCTGGTCAATTATAGATTTTTGTTTTAAACCCTGATTATTTTCATTGGTGGTTTCTCTACAAAACAGACCTGCGCATTTCTTTCTACAGAAACAATGGAGCGAAAAAAACAACGTTGATCATTGTGAATTGGGCACGTCCCTCTTTTCGATTAAATTACAATTAAAGTCTAATTAACAAATATTTAGATAATGTTGAAGAAGAAACTCTGTATTTTATCTTAATATCTTTTAAAAAGCAGTAAAAAGTAGGTTTGAAAACCGTAGAACATGCAATCATTATTGTTTTACCTTTCACGTTCATTAACAAATTACAAATAGAATAAGATTTTCCGATCCCAAACTGTATTCTTTTTAGATAAAAGATACAAACGTTTTTGTATCTTGTTTAGATAAAAAATTGTATCTTTTTTAGATAAAGGTTACAAACCTTTTTAGTTAAAGGATACAAACCGTTTTTAGATAAAGGATACAAACCGTTTTGTATCTTAAGATAAAAAATTGTATCTTTTTTAGATAAAGGATACAAACCGTTTTGTATCTTGTTTAGGTAAATAATTGTATCTTTTTAGATAAAGAATACACACGTTTTTGTATCTTGTTTTGATAAAGAATTGTATATTTTTTAGAGAAAGTTTACAAACTGTTTAAAAAAATATATGGCCTTCAAACAAAACAAAATGTTTGTTAACGAAAGATTGTATTTTTGTTAGAGCCAAAAAAACTTTTTGAGAAAAAATTTGCTGAGCTTCTTAGCTATTTGAAGAGGTAAAAAATTTAAATTATGTTTTAAAGATTGGTTTCCTAGCGCTGCTCGTACAACAAGGACTGGTCTCGCCATTTTGTTAGCTTCTGCAAAATCAGGTAATAATCCTAATCCATGGTTCAAAACTTTAAATATTTTTAACTTTCTTTCAGAATTTAATCTTTAATCCCTTAAAAGATTTGAAATGCATGCAAATTTCTTATAAAACCAGAACCCTTTCCCCATAAATTTCGTTGGAAGGGGAACGGCCCGCTTATGTATGCTTCTATCTACCGATCTATACTATTCTGGGTTAGTGTACATGTAACTTTGTCGGTGGGCTACGCAGCTGTTATATCTCAGTGGACCCTAGATATTTTTAGGAAATTTCTAAAACCTCTGCATAGCAAATTTTAGGTTTTACTATAACAAATTTTTATTCTGAATATTGTTCATTCTATAAAAATAATTTGTACTTTTAAAAAAGTTTGAAGTGAAGTTCAGGGTCCAAATTGAAGAAAAACTTTGGTAGATAGTGGGCCCTGGAGTAAGCAGAAATGAGATACTGTAGCTAAAATCTTGTGATCATAGCATTTTCTTCAAAGAGTTGGTAGCAACAAAGGCGCCTTGTTTTCAGAATTCCAAAATGTGGTCTGCCGTTTTTGTACCTTAAGAATTGGCCAATTTAAAATTCAAAATATTAAATATCAGCAAAGTTGTTTAAATCTTTAGTATCTTCAACCATTTTTATAATATGCAAAGAAGGAGGCTAAATCTTATCAAGTTTTAAAGACTTACAATGTTTTCCTATACTCCTTTGACATCTATTAACTTTACGAAAACCAAAGACAAATTGTAAGTTCCAGGGTCCAATGTCTAACGTACTGCATAACACCCCAGTGAAAAAATTACATCAAACTATGATATATCCATCTATTATATATCCATGGGAAGGGGATTGTTAATTTGATGTACCGTCCCGTTTTGCCTTATATAGTCTGTATGTGTACTGTACACAGCTTGCTCTGGAAGGTTCAATGTCAGTCCTGGACTTGAAATGAACCGGATTTTCCAGTGTCTCGGAAAATCTCGCAAAACGAACAAATTAAATGTGTAGTTAATTTGTGCAGGGCATATACAGAGTTAACCACAAGGATGAGAGGTTTATACAGAATTGATACTGTCTGTTTACTTAAAAGAAATTGAGTCTTTGCCACAAACTCTGATTTTCTAATCACTATATCTTTGGAAGCAAATATTGCAGACCTCAGATATTTCAAACTATGAATTCTATTAGATCAAATAATCTGAGTTTGAAATATCAAAGGTTTACAACATAGAGTTCTAAAGATATTGTGGTTTAAATATTTGATTTTGTTCCAAAGACTCAATCCCTTTACGATTTCCTGAAACTGTAAACTGGTTTCTTTATTGGCGAATTCATTAAATTAACCATTATTACTATATTTAAGGCCGTATACTTAAGTAAACCTTGGGATTGTAATATTTTAACAGTTTTCTGTCGTCTCATGCTTTGTGGGTAACCCTGTAGCTTGAGTGCAGAATGATCAATAATTAAATTTGGAATTCTAAACTTTTTTATCCTTAAGGGTAGGATTTAAACTGCATATCCCCTCAAATAATTTGAACACGTAGAGGACACTGAACAGTCCCCTATAATTAGAATCCAAATACATATGAACACTGAACACTGTACAGTCCTATAATTAGAATCCAAATACATATGAACACTGAACACTGTATAGTCCTAGAATTAGAACCCAAATTCATATGAACACCGAACACTGTACAGTCCTAGAATTAGAACCCAAATACATATAAACACTGAACACTGTACATTCCTAGAATTAGAACCCAAATACATATGAACACTGAAAACTGTACAGTCCTAGAATTAGAATCCAAATACATATGAACACTGAACACTGTATAGTCCTAGAATTAGAACCCAAATTCATATGAACACTGAACACTGTACATTCCTAGAATTAGAACCCTAATACATATGAACACTGAACACTGTACATTCCTAGAATTAGAACCCAAATACATATGAACACTGAACACTGTATAGTCCTAGAATTAGAACCCAAATTCATATGAACACTGAACACTGTACATTCCTAGAATTAGAACCCTAATACATATGAACACTGAACACTGTACAGTTCTAGAATTAGAACCCAAATACATATGAACACTGAACACTGTATAGTCCTAGAATTAGAACCCAAATTCATATGAACACTGAACACTGTACATTCCTAGAATTAGAACCTTCTCTTCTCTCTTCTCTCTTCTCTCTTCTCTCTTCTCTCTTCTCTCTTCTCTTTTCTCTTCTCTTCAATTCTATATTTCTATAATTTTATCAACTTCTCTTCTCTCTTTTATCTTTCTGTATTTCGTCTCCTATCATTTTTCCTCTTTCTTTTTCCTCTTTCCTCATATATCTACATTAATATGGTTAAATCTATGGTTCATCAAGTCACTATTCCTGTGCGTCCATTGACTCATTTTGAAGACTATAAGGGGACGCACCAAGAGTTTTAGCTCAAAATATGGATGAAAAATTTATTTAACAAAAATATGCTGAATGGTTTAACTCCTATTTTCCAAATCCAGGGCAGCCCGGGTTCTTGGGGTTCAGCTTGCAGAGAATACTGGTAGAGTAGATAGGGTAGTCCACTTTAGGTTCACCTAGATAGATAGATAGATAGATAGATAGATAGATAGATAGATAGATAGATAGAGAGAGATATATAAAGATAGATAGATAGATAGATAGATAGATAGATATATAGATAGATAGATAGATAGATAGATAGATAGATAGATAGATAGATAGATAGATAGAGACAGACAGACAGATAGATAGATAAATAGATAGATAGATAGATAGATAGATAGATAGATAGAGAGATATATGGATAGATAGATAGATAGATAGATAGATAGATAGATAGATAGATAGATAGATAGATAGATAGATAGATAGATAGATAGATAGATAGATAGATAGATAGATAGATAGATAGATAGATAGATAGATAGAAAGGGGGGTATAGGCTTATGGCGATTATTTTTCGGAATAAGCCTATAACCCCCTTTCATTTTTCACGAACACTCCCTTTAAGGTTAGGACACTTGATATGTTTTGGAAACTTGACTTGTTTTGGACACTTGATATGTTTTGGACACTTGATATGTTTTGGACACTTGATATGGTTTGGACACTTGATATGTTTTGTACACTTGATATGTTTTGGACACTTGATATTGTTTGTACACTTGATATGTTTTGGACACTTGATATGTTTAGAACACTTGATATGGTTTGTACACTTGATATGTTTTGTACACTTGATATGTTTTGGACACTTGATATTGTTTGTACACTTGATATGTTTTGGACACTTGATATGGTTTGTACACTTGATATGTTTTGGACACTTGATATCTTTTGGACACTTGATATGATTTGGACACTTGATATGTTTTGGAGACTTGTTAAGTTTAAAATATTTGATATGTTTAGGACACATAATATGTTTAGGACACTTGACATGTTTTGAACACTTGATAAGTTTAGAACATTTGATTTGTTTCGGACACTTGATATGTTTCGGTAACTTGACATGTTTTGGACACTTGATATGTTTGGGACACTTGATATGTTTAGGAAACTTGACATGTTTTGGACACTTGATATGTTGCGGAAACTTGACATGTTTTGGACACTTGATATGTTTTGGACACTTGATAAGTTTAGAACATTTGATGTGTTTTGGACACATAATATGTTTTGGACACTTGACATGTTTTGTACACTTGATATGTTTTGGACACTTGATATGTTTTGGACACTTGATATGTTTTGGACACTTGATGTGGTTTGGACACTTGATATGGTTTGGAGACTTGATATGTTTTTTAAACATTTTATCTGATAGTGTTATATGATTGCAGCGTTTAATGCGGTAGTTTAATGAGTTTAATGTTGCAAACTTTAAATGTGTTAGATTAAATAATCTTAGTTTGAAATATTTTGCCATAAGGTTGCAGAGATACAGGGATTAGAAATTTTGAGCCTGCTGTGGCATTGTATGTTTTCTAATTCAGAAAATATTTGGATTAAATCTTAAATTCTCGACTTCTTGTACTGAAAAGTGTAGATTCTGAGCTGAAAACTTTAGAATGAGATATCCTTAATCCTGATTGCTTAATCTGAGTATCCAATGTACACACTTTTGATTTTATTCTTAATCCACATTCTTGGATATCCCCACAGTATAAAAGTTACAATTACAGAAACAATGCTATATCGATTGAATTAATATACGATTGAATTAAAGTCAGCTGTTCACAAGCGCGCCGGCTTTTAGAGCATTTAAGCAAATATTAAATTAGTCATGTTAATATGAACCTATTAAAAAAAAATATTTTATCACATTTTAGGACTATCATCATTTTAAACATTAATCCAAAACTTACATTTATTTAATCGATGTTTAGTTCAATTGATATGACACAATTAAAACTAGAAAAAAACAGTTTTTCAAAAGTTAAAGAGTACATCTTAACATTATACGCTCATTTGTTGAATTTTATACTTCTTTCTTGGATATCGAATGTGTATTAAAGTAATCTCGGGTTTAATATGTAAAACCAGGAGTTTAAGCATTAATCTTGATTTCCATCATTCTAAAGTTTTCAGCTCTGTATATGTATAAATATGTTTTAAAGTGTCTGTATTTCAAAAAGCATATCAAATGGGGTAAAAGCAGAAAATTCATATTTTAAATGTAGTTAACCCTGAAAGCCTGAACTGTCTCTGAATTGGGATGGGGTACGAATCTTTTGAAGGGTGTAAATATAAGGGGACCAAAAGACTATTATTTTATTCCCTGAAACACAGAAATTAGGGGAGATAAAATTATATTTTACTGTATCCAAATTTGCCCCATTTTTCTATATCTTAGTCACACTGAACTAAACAGAAGAAGGGTAGAATATATGCGAAATTTTAGGTGCTTTGTGACCTTGAAGCTCCTTCCGGTCACATTTTAGTGACTAAAATGTGACCGGAACTCTTCAATAAGAGTATGGTTAAAACTGCACAATCTTAATCACAATTTACTTTTTTTGACGAGTGGTAATCTTAAAAAACAAAGAAAGTATTTGTCTTCTTTAATGTTTTTTTATATTACTTTTTTCAGTTTTTTATTCATACCAGGCTATCAGAACGCTTCGCATGCCCATATTCTATTTCAACTTTTCATTGTTTCTCGATCTATCAAAATTTACAATTTTTTCGTCGATTTCCAAAATTTTACGAAAATAAAATTTTTCGGAGAATTTTTTTTTTTTAAATCCAGAAACCTTCTTTGGTGTCATGTGAGATTCCACAAAGATTTGGCCGAATCGGTTCAGCCGTTTTGACGTTAATCGGTTACAAAAAAAAACAGAAAAGGAAGGTATATATATATATATATACTGTTTACCTGGTATAACCTGCCTGAAAACAATCCAACATTTATAAAAAAGAAATTAAAAATTAAAATCACTCTTCTAATACACTCGCCACGATCAAGGAGAATGGAATATAAAGACGGAGTCGACCCGGCCCGCCTACCATATGATTATACATGCTTTGCAGACGGTACTTAATTTGAATAAGAAGTATTTTTCTGATACCGAGTAGGGCGCGTACATGTATTTTGGGATGCAATACATACAAACGTATTTTTTATAATATAAAAATCAGGTTTATTTAATATGGTAAATTAAAAAACCCACTTAAAAAAATAAAAGCCGACCTCTATAAAACTCTTTTCAAATCGAGTACCGTCTCCAAAGCCTGTTTAATCAGATGGTAGGGTGGACCGGGTCGATTCCCTCTCCATAAATTCTATACTCCTTCATGGCCACAATGCGTTGTACAGTAAAGTGTAAATTGTACTTGCTTTCCATGTCAAATATTTTGCTTTTGATAAATGATAATATATCTTTCAATCAATTGTTCAACCATATTTAAAGATTTTTGTTTTTTTAAGTTTATGCTCCAAAAAATAATATATTGAAATTAAAAACAGAAAAAAAACACTTTTTTGTCAAAAAAAAGTTATCCATTTTTATAAATTAAACATGCATTTGTTCATAATTGTAATTAATTTTAGAACCCATTTTCTTCCGTCAAATGAAGTTTGTTTGATTTCCTATTGTAAACTTTTTTTTGGGTTGTATAACTTAAAAATAATGTATGTATTTCTTTTTTTTACATATTTTAAAATAGAGATAAAATGAAATATTATGTACTCATTTTTTTTTTGGGGGGGGGGGTCAATTTTACGTAAAAATGATTAAAAAACTTTTGTAAAATGTTTTGATTCCTTAGGCAATCCAATTCATCTCCGCAATCTGGCTCCTCCTCCTCCTGCAGTAAACATGTTATTTATTTACTTGGCCAGACCAGAAATTATGTGCTTTAACTACAAAAGCCCGAAATTTCTTTAAGTTATGTTTACGTGAAATGTTTAAAAATTATAAATTATTCCAATTATTGTCCGAGCCACATTCTCCTCATTTTCTCGTCCGAGCCACCTCAAAATCATCGTCCTCAATATTTCTTTTTTTATGTCTAATCCTCTGGCCTCCCCAATAAAACTATTTTTAAGTATCGGGACACATTGGGGAATAAATGAAATAATGAATATTTGTAAATAAAAAATGTTTCATTTAAATTGAAGATTTCAAGTTTAATGTTTTTTTAAATGTTCACCTATTTTACGCATATTTTCAGATATTCCTGGTGAGAATGCCGGAAATAATTCCGAAATTATATTACTTCAATCTTTTATGTTAGTTAATAGTTATAGTTGTTCCATGGAGAAAATATAGGTACCAAATGTTTTGCTTATTTATTTTATATCGCGAAGATAAGCCATTACGGAGCCAGAAGATATTTAAGTTTTACATAAATAAAGTTTGACATCATTCTCATGGGTTTGAAGATTCCAACATGATGTAATTATTGCAATACTTATGTCTATCCATATTTTATGTACTAACGTGGCCAGAGGCCGAATTTAAAGAATTTGAGCCACTGCTTAAATTTTAAACGGGGCTGAAATATGGTTGGTTCCACATAGAAATGTATTCAATGTTTCAAAATTTAAGCTGGCGCTCCAATGAAACCGGTTTTTGGTGGATTTGAGACTCGGCTCAAATTCATTAAATTCGGACTAAGGTTTTAAAAAATTAGTTTTATCTTCAAGAATAGGAAACTTTTAATCACTTAATAATCGCAGGACGAGTATTCCGAGGTAGCTCGGACAAGAAAATGAGGAGAATGTGGCTCAGACGAGAAATTGTTATGGCTGGCCTTACTCCCCTCATTGCTTGAACATTAATTAAATAATTTTTGTGGGGTGGGGAGGCTATTGTGTGACACCAGGTCTGGTTAGATCACTGAAGGTGAGCACACTTGTCCGCAGCCAGTAACTGGATTGGTATCCAGACTGATGTTCACTATTCACGGGTTTGATTCCCGCACTCCTCACAAACCTGTTGTTTCAAAGTCATCTGAACCCAACATCTGGTTAAGCAGTTATAGGAGGACAGAGGGGCGGCTGTCAGCAACTCTTTCAGCGAAAGGGTGTGTGCTTTCTACTCAACAAGAAAGAAGCTTAAAATGGATTGATCTAAGTGAATGATGATGAAGAGAGGAAAGGTGAACAAGCACGGAGAGTCTATGGTTGCCTGCAGCTATAGGTACATGGAGGTATCCAAATGATTGGGAGCTATGAGTGTGATGTTTCCTATCTGTGGCACCCAGGCCTCATTCCAGTAAATCAGAAGAATTCTTGCACTCTACTATTCTCAGGCCTAAGAAGCCTTTAGGCAGTTGGATTCTTATCAGCCAGCTCTTCTCAGAATAAATGAAGCGTGGACGGACTAATGGAAACTTTCGGAATAGAACAATTCCGAGATTTGATCGTAACAACCCGATCATGTCCTGGGGACAAAAACATCTCTTTAAAACAAATTAATTAATTATTTTCAACAAAAAATCGCTTATTTTGGATTTTTTGTTGAATATAATTATTTTTTATTGTATTGTATACATAACAAGCTATCATTCATCTTTTCCAGTGTTGTTTTATTTGTAAATTGTTGACCCGTACCTGAATTGATCGTAATGCTACCGCTCATTTTTTTCTACAGTTGGACACATAAAACTGTGGAATAGGAAGACGACATATAAGAAACCTTATATTTGTGCGTTTGATGTCTTAAAGTTAGTTGTTTAACTTATTTAAAAAAAATGCGTATTTCCTATCTTCACAAATAAATTATTTTTATTCCTTTAATAAAATATTCAAATTCAACAGTCGTCTTCCTAATCCACAGCTTTATGGGTCCAACTTCACTGTACCTTACCCAAACCCAAAGTGAATAAATACTATTTCTATTTATTCACTTTGACCCAAACCCTGTACAAATAGACATGTTTCATAAAATTATGTTATTTTTAAATAGAGACATTTTCAGGAACATTTTAAGAGCCCCCCCCCCTCCTATTTTCTTTCCCAGTCTATAAAGGGTTAAAGTGTAACCTGAGAAAATCCTCCTGTTGCTACCAGGAATATTAAGAAAACACTGAGAATCTAGATGAACAAAATATGGTAATGTCACGAAATAATATTTTCTATTTTTTTCACGTAGATACTAGATATAGCTAGTTTTATGTGTTTTTGTGCTACCAGTCACCACTCCCCAGTAATTATAGAAACAAGAAGAGCTACCACTCACCAGTATCTTTAATTATAGAAACAGGAGCCACCAGTATATTTAATTATAGAAACAGGAGCCACTATTATTTTTAATTATAGAAACAGGAGCCACTAGTATTTTTAATTATAGAAACAGGAGCCACCAGTCTCTTTAATTATAGAAACAACAGCCACCAGTTTTTTAATTATAGAAACAGGAGCTATCAGTCTCTTAATTATAGAAACAGGAGCCACCAGTCTCTTTACTTATAGAAACAGGATTAAGGGACTGTATACGTAATTTCAAGTGGTACATTTATAGATTGCAAACCTTGACAGTTTTTCCTGATACGAAATAATGGATTATGATATCAATCATCGTTCCCTTGAACTTTCATCAATTGTAATTGTTTTCTTTTTTTATAAAGTGCCAGAGGATCATCTCTAATTGTCTGAATTAAGCTCGGAAAACGACAATATCTTCCACTTTAATGATTAGATGAAGGGTGTATCGGGCAACTTGAAATTACAAGAACAGTCCATTTAATCAAAGAAAAAGGAACCATCGTTGACGTCAATAAAATATATTCATCATTTATTATTCATCATAATATTTTGGTCGCATCTTAAAGAAAACCTTCACGTGAACATAATTTACAGAATTTCATCCCGGATTTTCCTCCTACATAAATAACTTCCTTTTCCCTGCAACTAGCAAGTTTTTTTGCCTTCTAATTTTAGATGTTTAATTATTGTATCCGATTTTTCTTTAAGATTGCTTTTAAGTTTTATTACATAAAGAAATTTTTTCTTTTACCATGAAGATACAAACCAAACAGTTTTTGAAAACTATTTATCAAAACTTTTATATTAATCGTTTTAAAAAATCGAGTTGATATCTTTGACCAAGAGTAAAAGTTTTGCATTTTGTAATTAAAGCAAACTTATCCACCAGCCTTCTTTTAGATACCTCTTATCTCAGTAATGCTTACCCAGGGTTGAAACTGCATGTTTAAGGTGTACCGTGTATGCCTATCAGAGTCCTGAACCTCACTGAAGTCACCTTTTCTTCTCTTGCATATATTTGTGTACAGGGTGTCCCATAAAACAGTTTAAAAAAGGAAATTGTTGTGAGAAAAATGGTAATCCTATGACACCCCCCCCCCTAGAAAATTTTATATTTTCACTTTAAACACCATGTTATGAACAACGTATTAAATAAAGAAAGAACCTGAAGCCAAGCCTAGAAATATTATTGACATAAGTCTTGGCGTCCAAACTGGTCCTTGCAGCACTCCCTGATATATATTATACAGCTTCGAGCATTCTCGGTAACTGCATATACGCTTGTTTTACAGAAATGAGACGATGTGACGACTGTTTTCATGGTTCAAATAAAATTATGCTTAGGCTTACACTGCGTGACTGCACTGTTATAATAGAAATGAGACATTGAGACACTAAGACATCTCTATTCCTGGATCAAACCATGTGTACAGAAGAATACGCTTGTTTTACAGAAATGCGACATTGAGACATTAAGACGCCTCATTTTATCCAAAAATCGTTCTGTAGGAAATTTCCAACATTTCAGGTACCCGTTAATATTAAAGGTAAGAACGAAATGTTCGTTTCGTTAATGGCACGTTAATTAACGATCTCAATTTGATTTTAACAGTGTTAAAGGAAAATTTTCAACAATCGTTAACGGCTCCAGTCCTTAACATTCAATGGCCCAAAGCGCCAAAAAAACATCGTTAACGGTTAAAACATCGTGAACGGTTTAAAAATTAACGGTTTTTGCCGCTCACTAACAGATTCTTCCGTTAATTTTCGAAAACTTCTGTTCCGTTAACGGAACTTTGCCCAGCCCTGTACGTTTGACCGTCTTCAACTCAAAAGGTGAACAAATTTGAAGTCTGAAGGGTTTGTCAGCCGCTTATAAGTTTTAGAGAAAATACCATATGTGGGTGGAACACTTCATCAATAAAGGGTTAGGAGTACTGTTGTGAACTGAGCATGCATCATATAAATAAAAGATCACTTGAAATAATATGGAAGTGCCTGCAAGTAAATGGTTTTGTAATCCCTCGTGTTGGTCCACATGTACAAACTATTTAATATTTTCTATAGCTTTTTAATTACTTATAATATTGAAAACCTGAAAACGTTCATTAATTAATTTTTCTTTCAACTAAAGAGAGTTTGTGTATCACACAAAAATAAAAAACGACCTAATTCTATAATCTTCATGAAAATAACTATTTATAAAACTGGTCACTGTTATTTTGGCACTACGTTTCCGGACAGAAATTTTCTCTATATCTCGAAGATTTTCGCCTTTTTAGATTTAATTTTGTCCCGACATTTACAAGGGACAAAATATAGTTTAAAAAGGCGAGAACCTTCGAGATATAGAGAAAATTTTGCATGTCGTGCCAAAATAACAGTGAAACGTTTGTGTACTTATCTTATTTAAATGGCTATTCCTAGATCAAACAAGCTTTGAGACAAAGTCAAATTATAAAGTTGATTTAAATTTTATTTTCATTTCAACTGAAAAAATAATATTTTGGAAATATCCTAAATTTTTTGGAGAATCCGGGAACCATCAACCAATCAAAACTTTATATATCACACGTGCCATAATGTACAGTTAATCTAACTTTATAGCACGATGAATACTTTATAGTACGGCGCTTAATATACAGCTAATTTCACTTTACACCATGTTCATTTTGAAATTCACGATATAGTGAGTACCTCAGAATATATATAATATAGAATAACAGGTGGCACCTGTATTGGTATGACATTGTAAACATGTATTGGTATGTTATTGTGTACATTTAGTACACTGTTCTTGGGGGGATTTGTTTGTAACACGGATCAGACATACAAGATTTCATTCTTTTTCAAAAGATGAAAAGTTAAAAAAAACGTAGAGTAACTTCACAGGAAGGCCAGGTTTCTGGACTACGGGAAAATTTAGTGTTGTCTGTGCGAAACTTTTGGAAAACAAATACGTTTCCGGACGAAATTTAATTTATCACACTGTTCCCAGTCTCCATCCTACCCACCATCCACATCAACAGGAACAGCTAGATAATGGAGAGGGTGAGTCTTGACTTATTTACAGGGGCGGATACTGGATTTGGTTAATATTGTTCTAATGAATAATCTAATATAAATGTAATTTCATTCATTCCTATGAAGGCTGGCAGCTTTAAAT